ACTTATTATTATCTGATAATTATAAATAATTACAAAATTTTTATTATGTATTGCAGGAAAAAGAGACTGAGAGGACTCCCCATTTTTTTGAAATTTTAAGCATACTCATGTTAGGAAGAAAGATGGTGAGAAGGTATGGGTAGACCAATGATCGGAGAAGACTTATGTAAGTAAATTTTATTTAATTTAGTAAAATTTGTATTATTTATCAACTTTTTATAATTAATATCTTTAATTATTAAACTTATTTTATGATATATTTGTGTATGTTGACTGACTTTCAGACTGCTTAATCCTCCCAATTGGCACTTGAGGAGACGTCTACTCTAGAGTTTCAGCGAATGGTAGATATTGAGCTCTATGAGAGGTGCATTGGGGGGAGAGCCTTCAGCCATATATACGGTCTTGGAAGGCAGAGTTCTTTCTAGTTCGTCCACTATCCTCCATGCGACAGTGTGGATTAGTCTTCTATGAGATCGGAGGTGCATAATCTCCGTCAAGAGAACAAGAAGCTTTGGGAAAAAGTGGGAGAGTATGGAGGTTGCCTTTAATAATTCGTTACAAGATGATTGAAGGGATGAAGGGCACACCACCTGATTATTCTTGCCCTCTTGTGCTTGCTCACGATTCTGATTTTTCATCACAGTCGGGCGATGGTGACTGTCGAGAGTAATTTTTTTTTTAGAGACATTATTTTATATTTTTAGTGATATTGTTTTATATCTACAATGAGATATTTGAATATTATTTATGCATATGTTATTTTAATTTTATGTAAATGTGCATCTTAAATAAATTATAATAAAATATATATAATAATTATTAATTTAATTTTGTAGGTATGTTTAATAAATTATAATATTATATATTATAAAAAATATACATTAATTTTATAATAAAATTTCAACTAATTGTATTAGTATAATTTTAATTATTAATACCAAATAATTGAATAAATTAAAATATTAAAAAAATTAATTTTTTGACACAAATAATCGTCGGAAATTGTGTTAAAAATTAATAAAAAAACTTCGGCCCAAATTTCCGATGCAAAATATGTGTCAGAAATTTCCGACGCAATATATGCGTCGGAAATTTTGATGCACATTTTGCGTCGGTATTTTCCAACACATTGATATTTTGTTTAGAAATTCTGACGCATATATTGTGTCGAAAATTTCTAACCCAACCACCAGATGTTGGTATTGTAAGCTTCTTCCGACACATATTGCATCGAAAATTTTTTCCAACAGCCCTTTATCTAATGAAATTATTTGTGTCAATTTTTCCATTTTTGATGCAATTTTCTCTCTTACTGACGCTTTTTTTTTTTGCATTGGTAATCTCACATTTTCTTGTAGTGTAAGGGACTGTAACAGTTGCTAGTGAACATGCAACATGAAGAATTTTTATATGCCTTGCAATTTTTTTTTAATTTTTTGTAATTATTCATAAGACATAGATGCATGAAAATAATTACTGATTACTAGTTAAGTTTATACATACTTTATAGATCCATGAAAACAATTGTGCATATATTCTTTATTAGTTATTGTACAGATCTGGAATTCACACATTTTTGTTCAAGCTTATAATTGAATATATTGAAGAGTTATGCTTCGAATTGAATGAAGATGTACGTGTAACGGAATTGGTCTCTACTTATAACTATACAAGTCTTTGGTTGTAATAGAATATCAAATTTTTACTTCCGCTCAAATTGTTGAACAGCCCTTGTATTTTGCTTGTAAATAGACGGACTATGCTTATAACTGAACCGTTTTTTGCTTGTAACTATACAGGTCTCTACTTGTAACTAAAAGAGTCTTTGTTTGTAACTATACAGGTTCCTGTTTGCAACTATACAAGTCATTACTTGTAACTGAACGAGACTTTACTTGTAACTATATAGTTCTCTGCTTGTAATTGAACGAGATTTTGCTTGTAACTATAAAGGTTCTTTTTGCAACTATATAAGTCTTTGTTTGTAACTGAACAATTCTTTGCTTGTAACTATACAAGTGCCTGCTTATAATTGAACAAGTATATACTTGTAACTATAAAGGACTCTATTTCCAACTATATGCAGGTTTTTGCCTGTAACTAAATGAGTTTCGCAGGTAACTATACTTGTCTCTACTTGTAACTATATAGTGCTCTACTTGTAACAGAAAATTATCAAATTTTTATTTTTGCTAAAATTGCAGAACTCTCCTTGTAGTTTGCTTGTAACTAAACTAACAATGCTTGTAACTGAACGGTTTTTATTATAACTATACAGGTCACTATTTGTTACTGAATAAGTTTTTACTTATAACTATATATATTCTGCTTATAACTATATAGGTCTCTGTTTATAACTGAACAAATGTAGGCTTGTAACTATAAAGATCTCCGTTGCAACTATATAGGTCTCTTCTATAACTGAAAGAGTTTTACATGTAACTATACTAGTCTCTGCTTGTAACTATATTGTTCTATGCTGTTCTCTGCTTGCAACAGAAAGATTATCAGTGTTTCATTTCCACTAGAATTGCAGGATTGCCCCCGTGTTTTGTCTTGTAACTAAACTGAGCAATGCTTGTAACTGAATGGGTCTTTGTTTATAACTATGAAGTTCTCTACTTGTAACTGAACGAGTTTCCTTGTAACACTACAGGTCTCTACTTGTAACTATAAAGTTCTCTACTTGCCACTATATAGGCCCTTACTTGTAATTGAACGAGTTTTGCATGTAACTATACAGATATTTACTTGTAATTATACTGGTCTCTGCTTGTAAAATTACAGGTGTCTGCCTGCAACAATACTTATCTCTAGCTGAACAATCCTTGTATTTTGCTTGTAATTGAATGGGGCTTTGCTTGTAACTAGATGGAGCTCTTGCAACTCTATATATTCCTGTTTGTAACGAAACAAAGCTTTGCTTGTAATCTAATGAGTCTGTATTTGTAACTCAATGAAAACTCTGCTCATAACTAAACTAGTCAATCACTTAATTCAATACATGGAGGTATGCTTATAATTGAATAGAGATATGTTCGTAACTAAATTTTTTTCCACTCAGTGAACTAAATATTTAAATTGCAAAAAAAAATTTATTACTGACCGATTTGTAATTGACAAAAATGGGTTACAAATTAGTGACCGTAGTAAAAAGATCATTTCTTTTAAGTAGTGACCCAATACTAACTACCTAAAGGGGGTAACTAATTAGTGACCATTTTTTGTGACTGCCAAATTTGGGATCAGTAATTAATGACCCATTTAGAACCGCTGTAATGGAAGTCATTAATCAGTAACCGACTGTAAAGGCCCACCCTCAAATTTGTGACCCTCTTTGTGATCTACCAAAAGAGAGTCACTAATTAATGACTCTTTTTGTAACCGCCTCATAATCGGTTACTAATTATTGACTCTTTTGTAACTAAAACCGTAGCAGTCGCTAATTTTCTGACCGATTTTTGACTGTAGTGTCTACGGTCACAAATCGGTTATTATTTTTTTCCAAATAACTTAACCTTAATCGATCACTACTATGTCACTAAATAGTGATCCATTGCTGCGGTTACTAATTTCCAGTCACTAATAGTGTTTTTTTCTAGTAGTATATTAGTGTATATACACATGATGAGTGTGACATAAGTAATAAGACACTTTCATATTTATGGAGAAAAACCTAATTTGAATTCATGAAAATGCATTTTTTTTAGGGGATGGTCACAATATACCAAATAAAATTAGTTTTAAATTATAAAATAAATTAGAATCTTTATAATGTAAAAAAAAATCAGTATATACAGAAATGCCATATGCACATTTTGTTAAAATCCACCACTGATTTATTAAAATACACGAACGCGGCTGCAAAACAGAAAAGACAGCTTAATATTTTTATTTTTTTAATTTTCGTGTAAAATGACGAGACACATGCATGGTTTATATGGTGTTTGCTTCAGCCATTGACGCTAGTTCCACAAATTTATTTTATTTAGTGTTTAATTTAGAATTTTAAATCATTTTTAAACCCATTTATTTAAATTTCAAATTGATTTATTGTTTTTGATTCTTCATAAAAAGTTTTAAAAATACCAATCAAACTACATAAATAACTAGCAGAGCCAATGGACCAGCCACTCTAGTTCCTGACCGTTGTTCAGCGTGAACCAAAGGTTCCAAAGGCAAAGGGAAATGAGGCGAGGGTGCAGGTAGAAAAGGTAGACGTGAGTACAGAGGAAAATTTCAGCAGATTGACTAACATACGTGTCTGCCGTGGGTCCGCACAGTTAAGCACGGTAGACTAGGTTGCTTTCCACGTTGACGCTGGGAAGTTTCCGGGAAAGCTCCACGGCCTAAAGTCCCCCACCGTCTTCTCCCCTTGACAAATTTTGGAGGCCCTGTTTGGTTAGACATTTTAAATTTATATATTTAAAATTTTCAAAAAATTCAACATAAAATGCTTAAAACTCTTAAAATTGAATAAATATTTAAATAAAAATAAAATTGACATTTTATGTCATGAAAAAATATATTGGTTTTAAATTCCAGCAAATAAGAGTTATTTTTGTAACCATTTTCAAATTATGATACATTATAAGGATAATTAATTATGAATATAAAGTGATGCATGTTCTCTTAATATATAATATACAATTCAAATTCTCTCTCCACCTTTTCTTTGGGGGAAAGTTCTTTTTTCATTTCCCTCGTTTTTCCGTCCATCGCACTTTCACACCGTGAAAGGAGAGACGACAACCAAAAAAAAAAAAAAAAAGAAACAGCAACAGCAACAAAGGACATAGTGGTCGTTTACGCCATTAAATATGAAACCAAAACATACGTAAGACGAACGCGAAGTTGACCTACAACTGAGGATATGCATACTTGAAATATGCGAGGAAATGTATTGCTGAGAGAAGAAAGAAATTACTTGACTCCCAGAGAGAGAGAGAGAGAGAGAGAGAGAGAGAGAGAGAGAGAGAGGGAGAGGGCGGGAGGGAATGGAGAATCTGCCGCCGGGCTACCGGTTCTACCCGACAGAGGAAGAGCTCATATCGTTCTATCTAAGCAACAAGCTGCAAGGAACCCGACAAGACCTGGACCGGGTCATTCCGGAGCTCTATATATACGAGTTCAGTCCATCTGATCTCCCAGGTACGTTTGTTCTTTATTTTTTTCGTCCGTCACACTTTCTTCCCCCCGGGAATTCTAAATTTGGTTCAAAGATTAGGGTTTTTTTTACCATTAATATAAGAAAAAATATAAATCTAGTCAGATTTTATATTTTGATGAACCATTACTCAGAGTTTGCCGGAGAACCGAGTCGCATGGACACAGAACAGTGGTTTTTCTTTATACCAAGACAAGAGAGAGAAGTTCGAGGAGGAAGACCGAACCGGCTTACCACTTCAGGGTACTGGAAGGCCACGGGCTCTCCCGGTTATGTTTACTCTTCCCAGAACCGAATCATTGGAATGAAGAGGACGATGGTCTTCTATCAAGGAAGAGCTCCCACCGGAAGAAAAACCGAATGGAAAATGAATGAATACAGGGCCATAGAAGGAGAGGCTTCCTCGTCGAGTGGTGCTGTTCCAAAGGTATGACATGCACGTGATAAGCTGCTCTTAACTTTTCCACACCAGGAAAATGTGACAGCTCATAACCTGAACTTTAATTTTGGGAATATAAGTTTGATTTTAGTCCCAAAAAAAGAAAAAAAAGTTTTAATATCATATGTTTGGCCCTTGAATAATCACAAATTATAATTTGAAACTTTTAGAATATCTACCCTTTAAAAGTCATATACATATATATATATATATATGTAAATATAATTTATTGAAATAAGATTTTGATGCCTTTAATTAGCAGCTGATATATTATTTTCATATGTATCATCAATTACACAAATTTTATTAGTTAACTTGTTTCAAATTTGGCATGTACCTTAGAATAATACTTGAATCCCGACCTGCCACCTGGGGAAGTAGAGAGATGATCATTGTGTGAAACACTTTTTTATAAGTTTTTTTTTCTTGATTTAAAAATACTTTTAGAAATGCCAAAAAAAGTGCAACTATTTACCACGCCTTTGTTTTTTCAGGAAAAAAATTATTTTATAATATGGGTAAAAATCATTCCATATAATCATTATACCTGGAAAGATTAAGGTTGTTTGGACAATTTTTAAAAACTGCTCTTAATATATAACTTTTTTTTAATAGAATTTTTGTAAAAAGTAGAAGTTATTTTATGTTTATGTACAATTACTACAAATACATTTTACTTTAATAAAAAGCGTGAGAGTTGTAATTTCGAAATTATGTAGAATTTTTTTGTTAAAAGAAAAATAAATTTAGTTTTTCCAAATTTTGGAATGAGTTTCTCTTTCATCAACAAATCTTTTGTTTTCGTAAGTTATTATTAACTTTTTGAAAAAAGAAATTTGATTTTTTTATTTTTATTTTTAAGAACTTGAAAATTTTAAAATATCATAGAAGTGCTTTTATTAATAAAAAAGTATATTCTTTATAAAAATTTGGAACAAACGCAGCCTGATATTGATACAGATTTATACAAATCCCTTATATCCCAAACAATCATCTGAAAAGAAAGGAGACATTAAGTGCAACAGTCATATCACATGGTTATCAAATGTTAAAAGCTACAATTATCTCAACGGTTCAGAAAATTGGTTCGACCTTCCATGAACCAAATAGGGTTGCAAGTGTATAAAAAAAGACAAAAAGAAAAAAATGTTGGAAAGGAAGCAAAACGCAGATAGATTTAACCCATTCAATGTAAGTAACAAAATTTCATTTTTTACATTTATAACTGTACATGTGGAGAAATATACAGAAGGAATTCTTTAAAAGTTCTAGACACAAGTATTGAAAGCCGTACTGTTTGCACAGCATAACAAATAAGGCAAGACTTGTACTCTGAATAGAATATTAAATGATAAGAAAAGAAATAGTAACACAAATTTAACTATATACAGTGTGTGTGTGTGTATATATGTATATATATATATTATAGAGAGAGAGAGAGAATAGAGAGAGAGAGGGGGGGATTGTTGGAAGTCACATATGTAACACACTTTCTTATATTTGCATGTTATAATAGTGTAGTTTTAAATAAATAACTAAATATTCGTAATGGCATTTCATATTTTACAAAAATTACTGATTTTTGTTTCTTCTTTAATTTCATGTGAGATTTATGCAGTTAAGGCAGGAGTTCAGTTTGTGCCGAGTTTACAAAAAATCTAAGTGCGTGCGTTCGTTCGACAGAAGGCCATTAGCAGCTCCAACTGAGGCGACGGCGTCTCATCACCAGAACCTTCCGGTGAGGGAAAGACCAAGCTCACCGGAGAGCTCCTCTTCAGGTGACCAACCAAATCCTAATTCTCAAGCTGACTTTGGCGAGAACTGGAATATGGTTGAAAATGAGCCTTTATGGACTGGGAACACATGAATTTGAATTGACTTTAATCCACCATCCCTCCCTTGGATCATTGTATCGATGTCTCTCCTCTTTTATCCACAAACCTCTTACTTTAAGCGCAAGCACAAATAGAATTTTTTTTTCTTCTTTTAGTCATATAATTTTCTGAGGTACATTGGAAATAAGGAGTAGGGGTAAACACTGAATAACATGGCTGCTAGTTTGTGCCTTGCAAGCCTGGAGTGGTGAGAAAAATTTTATTATTTTATGTCTAAGTTCTACATGTTCTAGAGGAGATAAAAGGATATTTACTTTTAATTTTATTTTTATATATGGATTTTGAAATAATTATTTTTAGTTATCCTCTTCTGGCTGACAACCATTTTCCCAATGCTAAAGAGTTTGCAGGCTTGCATTTACATGGACAAAAGCATCTCCTCTCTTTATTTCACTTCTAATTGTATCGTGATATTCTATTTTATATTAATTTTTAGTATAAAAAATTATATTATATATAAAATTTTAAAAATTATTATTAATCAACTTGAATTTAAATATTTTGAATAAATATAAAAAATTGTATTATATATGAAATTTTAGAAATTATTATTGATTAACTTGAATTTAAATATTTTGAATTAGATTTAACAAGTTATTAGAGTTAGTAATTTTCAAATTATTTCACCCACTCCTTATTTGTTGTGGCAGTGAAATCTACTTCTTATTTGTTATGGTAGTGGAATTGATACATATTAAAATTAAACCTATATGTATATGTTGATAGGTGATGCATAAGATTTAATCAGGTTTGGCAAATTTTATTACATCCACAGAGATTGTAAATATGTCAGGACGAGAATAAAATCTTAAGTACAAGAATATCGCTGAATTGAATATTTGCAGAACCATTTGAATTTTAAACAAGATTGGCAGAAGAATTATTTAATTAGGATTCCTAAATTTCATTGTTAATAAGGTTACTAATAATCCTTAGAGCTATACAGTTAGGTCAGTCCTCCCATAATTTTATTTCATGTCTCCACCACAATTTTTTGTTTTTAGTAAATATAAAGAAATGAAACATAAAAATCATTAGTTGCGACCTAACAATTTCCACACAAATTAAAGGGATCAAAAGATTAAGCACGTAAAGAGTGATGCAGTGGATATGTCATGTCGTATGGGATGATTTCTGTTTGCCCCTGATTATCACGACTTTATATCTTAAGCATTTAACTTAGTCAAAAGAAATTAAAATTTATCTGACAAAACTACAGTTGATGCTTGAATCACGGCTTTGCAAAGACATCCCCGAAGGAAAGAAAGAAAGGGTTCTAAAAGCTGAAAGTCGTGCTAGCAACCATCCTACTGGCTTGCTCTTGCATTTTCTGAAAGCTGATTAACTAGCCTTCTGGTCTGGTCTTCTCTACGGTGCTCTAAGAGGAATGATTTATAAGATGACATAGTACAATAAAATGATTTTTCTTGATGAAATGAGAATAAAAATAAAAATAAAATTGAATAAAGATTTCCATGAGTATAGTACATATTGATAGAATGTAGATTCATATTATATATTAATAGAAGTCGTAAAAGAAATAAAAAATGGCTAAAAAAAACATATTGAAAGGTTAAAAATTAAATATATTTTAACTTTTAATAAATTAAAAATATACTAAAAGGGTAGAAAATTAAAAAATTTTATATCCTAAAGTTAAAATATTAATTTATATTTATATATATATATGAACAATTTTGACTTTTGATATCTATAAGATAATTTTGTAATTTTCTAAAAAAAAGTAGTATAATAATAACTATAATAAAATGAAATCTAGGTTCCATCAACTAGTGATAAAATCCAGATTACCTCATTTTGAAATTTTTTTTTTTTTTAATTTCCATTCACATTTTCATTCTTTCAACAAAATTTAATGTACCATAAGAATCAAGTCAACTCCATCTTCTTTACCATTTATATAGTTCATGTCCATGCAGTAGCATAATTTGTGTTCAATTAATTCCCATATTGAAAGAAGGTAGATTCCTATTGAATTTCTACTCAGATGAGTAACCGCTCATTGTTAAGTAATAACAAACTTTACAAAGTGACAAGTTGATGAGGAGGCTAAACTAGAAGCTTTTATGTTGTATAGGTATAGGTTTTGGTTTTGATTTTAGTTTTTTTTTTTTTTTTGGGTTTTTTAGGGTGGTGTATGCTTATATGAACCTCTCAAATGTAAAGCCTTTCTACAGCAAAGTCATTCTTGCCTTACTTTGACAAAAACAAAGAAGTTGATGAGTGTTGGATTTACAAGACTACAAGACTGAATGCGAAGAAGATACAGCGAATGAAACTGGTACATGATTGTACATATCTACGCACGCCTTTACATGGGCTGCAATCCAGAGTGAAATAAATGATAAGATGGTTTCTGACAACATAGAAGAAGACAGGCTTCAGGAGAAAAGCAGAAGACGGCTTAAGGAGGATAACCCCAAATATCATAACCCATTCCAAACACCGCCCCCCCCCCCCCCCCCAACCAAGAAAAAAAAAGGGGCAGTTGACAGGGTTTGAAATTAAATTAAAAGCATGGAAGGCATCAGTGAGAAAGTTATTGTGAAAATCACCTAACCCAATTACTCAAGAGAATGATCATAACTATTGAGACCGTATGGCTATTAATGTAAACTCCGAAGGACCGCATTTATTTGATAAAAAATGGAAACATTCACTAGCTATTTCACCCATTGATTGGGTTTTAATGGGTCATTACTAGATACTAATATGAATATAAAATACTTTTATCTTAATATAGATTAATTTAAAAGTAACTAGATTAACCGAACATAATTGATTACTCTAAATTAATTACTTACAAATTAAACTGCAAAGTAATTTTGGGTCTATAGCCAAATGATTGGTGAATCTAAGGAATTACGTATAAAATTGATTAATTCTATTCCAAATTATGGAAAATTGTCCAATTGTTAGATGCTAATATAAATAATTACTTGGATTAATTTGGGACTTGATCAATGTAAAAAGTTAAATTTATGAATTAAATAATTATTATTTAGTTGGGCCTTATTTTATAAGGTTTGCCTTGGAAAAATAATTAAATGGACTAAACATTTAATATGGGCTCTTGGG